ACGCGTAGCAAGGGCACTGAATGGGCTAACATTGCTGCTACCGCCAACCTGCCATTTTAACCTACGATCGATGGGGGATCTCAAAGGAAGACTGGAAAAGGTTACAAAATGGGCTCGACCAAAGGGGAGCAATGGACAGATTAAGGGACTATCATTCGATATCAAGGAAATGTTCAACGAGCTGCCGCACGAGTCCATCTTGGAGGCAGTAAGATGGGTGACGAAAATGATGAAGAGGAAAGGAAGGGAGGGAGTGTATGTGAAGAAGAGGGGAAAAGGGGTGTCCTTTGCCAAGCAACGAAGTGATGAGTGGGTGTTCATTAGTCTACAACAAATTGAGAAATTTGTCAAGTTTGAATTGGATCACACATACCTGACTGCTGGAGGAAGGATTTTGAGGCAAGTAATGGGGGTACCAATGGGGAAGAGTAGTAGTCCCCCTTTGGCGTGCCTGCTGTGTATTTTTAACGAAGCACGTTTTCTTGAGTCCTTGGGGAGGGACCGAAATTTGGTGCGAGGGATTAGGCTGGTAGATGACCTTTCAATTTTTGTGTGGGTTGGGAACTCCAAACAGGGGGAGGAAGAGGCAAAAGGGATCATGGGGAAGTTAGTAGATATCTATGACTCGAACCTACAGCTAGTTAGAACCGACGCGGACGAAGGGACCTGGACTTTTCTGGGTTGCGAACTGAGGGTCTGGCGATCTCCGAATCGAGTGGAGATCAGGTATAAAGCTAAGAACGAAGAGGATGTGTGGTCGGAAGCGTACTGTTATAGGTCGCTACAGAGTTTTGGGTCCTATGTAGACAAAAAGCAGAAAAAGGTGGTGATTAATAGTGCCCTGTCACGGATCAGAGCCTGTTCGTCAACTGTGGAGCTTGAAGAAATGCCGCTACTGACGCTCAGTAGGGAGCTGCGATTGTTAAGGTACCCAAGCGAGTTTTTTACCGGTACCCTGGGGAAATTCATTGACAGCAAGGCAAAGGACTGGGAGAGGTACCGGGACTTGGCCTAGCAAAGGGACTGAAAAAAAGGGGGGACCAGTGTACACTATTTTCCCACGGCGGCAACTGTTTTTATAGTTGACCGTCGTCTACTCAACCAAGGAGGTGCCTGCCCCCTGACGACGTCGGCTCTGGCGCCGACAGAAAGGGCTCTCGGGGAAATCGCCAGAACGCCGGTAGTATAGAGGAAGAGGTGAAGGAGGTGGAGGAGGTGGCTATGGGGGATAGGATGCTGACGGCGGTGTGCTTATTTTTTTCATTATAACGACTGGCCCTCACTGGGCTTTGGCCGATGAACGACTACGCTCAGATGCTTGCATGTGAAGTGAGGTGTGCTCTCGGTCGTTGTGATGCTCTGCGTTACTCTCTTGTTCCACTCATTATAATACCTTGCATTTTGTATTTATTGTATTTTTCACTTGATCTGAACGTTTAGGATTCTCTATCAGCTCCTGCATTCCGTGTGGACAAGTTGCCATTTTAACTTCCTCTTCCTGCCATTTAGCATCTTCCTGCCATTTAGCATCGATCTAGGTCGATTTATCTTTGATGCAGTCACCTTTGCTGCTAACATCATTCCCTTTAACAATAATCTTCCTTCACCGGTAGCCCATGCCACCTGCTTTTTGGCAGTTTTTGCCTTGTTTTTGTGTGAGGATCACAGTGCAAGTCCTCTGTCCAGGTGGAGATGAAAAAAACAGTTGCTCTCCACCCTTTCGTTTGCCTAGATAGTGGATGCAATTCCACTTAGTTTTTTTTTTTTTTTTCACTACATGTATGATCTTGTTGTGATTCAGAATTCAATTAACTTAATGAATTATCAATAAATTCTAAAACCGAATTGAATCAGGTGCTCCTCTGTTCAGAACTTAACGCCTAGCCTCCCATTGGACTTTTTTGTTCTTTGCGGACAACACATTGCCACCATACTCCGACACCAAACAATTCTCACAGGAATGCAGGTATGGTGGGGAAGTCAAATCGCATTTAAACCTCTTGTGACGCTACCGGAAACGTCGCATGAACGTCACTGTTCATTATGTCAGGTTCTGAATGACCGCACGACGCACACACAGGGCGCTGGATTTCCATCCAGGCAAAACGGGTTGCATGCTCCGCACAAAATGGCAGGTTCCGAATGGCCATACAGTGCATACACAGAGCGCTGGATTTCAACAAGGCAAAACGGGTTCCATGCTCCGCACAAAATGGTCCTCGCGTGCGACCCGGTTTGCCTGGACGGATATCAAGCCAACAGCACCCCCGTACCTCCTGAGAGTCGTGGCTGTGCATGCGCCGGAACACTGAAAAATAATAGTTAGGACATGTTCTTGTGGTTTAAACCACCAGTACCTACCACATTTTTAGGCATCAACGCGGTGTATGAATCCGTGTGCCGTGCAGGTCTATACCCGTTCACGTGGCCTAAGACCCCCTGAGGTACTGGTCGTTTTAACCGTCCATTTCTTTGCCATCAACAAAAATCCACCCCTCCTATTGTAGGGGATTTGGGCCATCTGTGTGACACTGTTCAGAATCATTCGGACCCAGGGTAGACGGTATCTTAGTAGCAGTTTAAACCACCAGTACTTGGCCCAGCTATCGGCCGCGGAAAAAAGTAGAGTAGAGAAAATTCTAGTTTGATGAATTTGGGCGCTCTAGTGGTGGCTCGTATGTTTCCTAAACTCGTGGCGCGTTAACGGGCACGCCTTTAGGAAGTACTGGTGGTTTAATTACCCATTTCATTTGCAAGGCTACGGCCTTTTTTTTGGGGTCTCTACTAGGGCTGGCCCTCCCCTCTTGAGGTTTCGTGATGATACAAGGCCAGGCCACTTATGGTGGGGACCAAATAGATCTCTGGTACACTAACTCCTGAAAATTCGGAGGCCGGGCCTGACGACGGCTGCCATTGTTAAATCTGATCGGCGGCGGTCATTCCGTTTTGGCCATCCCAAAACGTCGGAGGCCCACCCGAGGCCCGCTATTTTCCCACGCGGCAAAGGTGTACTAGTGGTTTAAACCATTTGGTGGGGACCACATGGATCTCTGGTACCTACTGTTTAAACCACCAGCGCTTTCGGTACCCTGGTGATGTTACAAGGCCACTTCGGTGATATCCATTTGGATATATACATGTTTGTATGTTTTCGTTGCTTGTGTACAAGCAGCACCTGACTCACAGTGGGCTTCATTTGGAGGGGACCAAATGGATCTCTGGTACCGTAGTGTTTCAACCATCCGTGCTTTCGGGCAACATTTTCTGCCACAGTGGAATTGCCCTGGGCGTAAAGAAAAGACAGAGGGCAACAATCACCAATGTCTCTTAATATACGTGAGCAGTGAGCACAAACAAGCGCAGCCTCGTTTAGGCTGGTGGCACCACCAGCCATTTTGCTCCGATAGGCTGAGGGACGCGAAACTCGTAGCACCTTCACAGCCAAATTGGAGAAAAATGGCTGGGCCTAGCTATTTTTTTTTCAAACTGCGTTGCTCATGCGCTGCGATCTCCGGGTCTGGGGCCGCACTGTTGAAGAACTTTACCAACGCCCTGCAGAGCGGGCCTGAAGCCCGAAAAGTCACGTCGACGTCACGGACCGTGTAAGGGCCCAGGTACTTGTCCTTTAAAAGGCCGCGGCATTGATAAAAGAAAAATCTACAGGAGTATCCGTGCAGAATGATTCACCACCGAGTTCTTTATGAAAACTTAATATCCTGATAGCCTATTTTCCCAGAAAAGAAATGCAACAAACATTAATACATTGTGCATAAAATTCCCTAAGAAAATAACACCCTTCAACTGAAAGGCTGAAACAACATAACAGGGTGTTTAAAAAAAAAAAAAAAAAAAACTGTACAGGGCAGCGGTCCCATTAGCCAAGGCTTCGGATTCGCAAGACACGATGTGATGCACAAATCACCTGTTGCGTCCATAGATATCTGCCAATCGCAAGATGTTCGATGTCGCAAGATGTTCGATGTTCGATATTCGAGGCAGTAAAGACACATAAAAGCAGGCCTCTGTGTGTGTGTGTGTGTGTGTGTGTGTGTGTGTGTGTGTGTGTGTGTGTGCGTCTCTGCTTATCCCCGAGCCGGTGCGACACGCACTTCGTGCCAATTATTGCACTGGTGACGCCAGAAATCCATTTAAATTTTAAAAACTGAAACCATAACAAGAAAGATTAGCATGGCCTCTTCACAAGAATGACACACAAATCTGGGAACAGTTCAGCTAAGCAAAACGACACAGCTCCTTCGCAACCAGATTCTATCAATATATGATATAGGCCCCTGTGCAGAAACGAAATGGGCTTGACGCTTGAGCATTTCCGAAAATGTGCAGACATACTACACATTTATGGGTTAATACCTGTCTCCTTCTCCACATTTATGTTAATTAATAATTTGACATATGCAAAGTTTAATAATAACATTATTCTTCCAGGATTAGAGTGTTAATGATTGCATAATTCATTTAGAATGACGGATGACTTTCTTGTGAGGGCAGGAGTGGGCATGCTGAGAGGCCCATGTTAAGCTTCTGGGCTGTGTTGCAGGGTTTACGCATACATGACCCACAGGCATAAACTAATCATTTGCAACTCCCAAACTGCATACATGGTTACCCAGCCCACATCGTTCTCTCTCTCTCTCTCTCTCTCTCTCGTGCCCGCATACGTTGAGACATGGGTGACAACAGTGACAACAGTGGCGACAAATGGCTACCTCCCAACATAAGGCCCCTTCGAATTCGACCGGGCCATTTCCCCTACCCCGACCAGCCAACGGCCGCTATCGGCTGACATACGTGAAACCCCACAAATGGCACGCACATACAGGGACCCATGTATATGTGCATATGCGGGGTGCACATACATATACGCCATGCAGCTTCAGGGATTAAATTGCCCCATGGCCTAGAGTGGACTGACAAGTTTGATTTTCTTTTTCACAAGAAGAATGCTCCAGGGCCTACAAAAAAGCATGCAATTGGTTTCCTCATTTTATTAAAATTTATTCTATGTCAATGCAAGATGGGAGTTCTTTTTCTTGGCTGGAAAAGATATTTAAGAATATACATCATCACCCACGACACCGAACACTGCACTCTCACTGTTAACCTCTCTCTCTCTCTCTCTCTCTCTCTCTCTCTCAGCTTGCACAGGCCTCCATGCACACTCTGACACCGTCCTGAAAAAGGCTTCCGACAAAAGAAGATGACCACTTGAACCAAAACCGGTTGAAGCAACACTGCAGCACAGGACCTAATACACAAGCACTGCAGTGGGACCAGTTCCCTTGAGAAGACTGGTCCCTACTACAAATACTGCACTGTGCACTCTCGAGTCGTCTATTCAAACACTTGGCATCAGCCGTAGAGGTGAAAGTTCGGAGCCTCATCCCAGTCTCTCCACCTCGGTTTTGCCCCCATGAAACATAGCTCCCCCCCCGCCCCCAGCCCCCTCCCCCCCCCACAAGACCCTTAACCCAACAAACCGATATGCTTGCAATACTTTCTGACTCTCATCTGCAACCAGGCTCTTACGTAGTAACCGTTTTTACCTCACAGGTATTATTAGCCCCAGTCCGACGCTCCTATCTTTCGGGAACACATATGAGTACATTACAAGAACGAAAGGCTGCCCCATGCGCCCCCCACACCCATCGCCATCCACCCCATAGATCACACAACTGGACGTCTCTAGTGCGTCGGGCTAGACGACAGGAGGAGGAGGTTGCAGTGAGCAGATGGGCATCGGGGGGTCCTTTTCAGTTTACGCTGACATGAACAAGAACTGGGGATGTATAGTTATATATTGTAAACATGGACGGGAAACGTAATAACGAGCTGCATTCCTCCCGCTGGAAAGAATCATACACTGACCTTGGACACAGCATTCATCAACCCCTGCTGCAGGGTAAGTCTCGTCATCCTCCGGATCAATGACTGCATCATGTCACTCACTACTCCCTCTCTCACCTCTCTCAGTTGCTGGACGCCCCAAACTCGCCCAAGACAGGTGGCAAAGGTCTCCATTGAAGCCCGCCCATACCGGTACTGAACCACATTCTCAAGATAGATCCATGCCGTCACTGATGATGGTGTCCGTCTCTTGCCGGACTGCATTGTACCTCTCAAGAAGAGGAGGTGCCTTGACAACGCTCGTCATGAACAGCTTGAACCTTGCACAAGTTTCAACATTACTGAACGACAAAAAGACATACAGGGGGCACCGACACAATTCACAACAGAGAAATAGACACAGAGCCAAAGGAATGGCCAGCAAATGAGATCCGCGTGTTAAATTGTTTAGTCCAATTTCGATTTAGTTGACATCACACACACAGCGAAGAAAGATCACACGTGACGAAGAGGTTTCCTTTACCATTTCCAAAATTAGAACCATCTAAGCGCACAAAAGAAGCGGACGGCGGAATAGGTGTATAACTTAGAACTGAAAGCGCAGACAGAATTGAGAACACGAACAACGCAGTGAGCAGGCGGAAAGCCACTGTGTGCTGCAATCGCAGGCACATCCGTTTGCTGACTTCGATGCCATTTCCATGCCGCACTCAGCGGTGATGATGGCTTCTCCCCCTCGGCATACTGCAACTGTCAGAGTCCTTAGCAAAAGTGCACTGTCGAGAACGGCGTCACACATAAAAGAGAGCGCACTATCGAAAACACGAGACCGCGACACATCTTTTCAGCCGTTTCAGCGCCCAAGGCCAACTCAAAACCCATTATTAGCTGTCCTTCGGGACATCCGTTAAAATTGGAACAATACAGAGAAGATTAGCATGGCCCCTGCGCTTTCAAGGATGACACGCATTAAAAAAAAAAAAAAAACACCATTATTAGCTCGATTACGAATATACGACCAAGCAACACAAGCGAAATGCTTTCCGGTTCACATTTCAAGCCAAGCAGTTTGTAGCTCAAGACCAAACACGACGGGTCATCGCTGCCAAAAGAGAACCCAAACCGACTCTCGTAGCCCACGGACAAAACTGCAGGGCTACCGTGGCCACAGGACAAGCCCAACACGCTATAACACACACCAAACCGAATGGGTTATCAGGTGCTTG